AAAATTGAGTGGGGGTGCCATATGGAACTCTTACCAGAAATTTTATTTCTTCTATACATCTCAATTATTTTTATTATCATATCAGTTCTTTTGCAAATGTAGCAAAAACATGCACCTGCTGGTGGCTGTCATTGTTCGAACGTCACTTCCTGCCTCATTCACACATACATATATTCATGAATTATTTCAATGAAAACTTTTAAATATTATTGGGTTTTAACAAATTATTATTAACATTTTGTTTGATAATATGTAGCTCAAGACTTAAGATATAAAACTGTGTTAAAAATAAACAAGCACATTACTAAAACTGAGATAAACTAAATTAAAAATGACAAGCTATATAGAATACAAAATTTAGTACTAATATGGAATATGCCAGCTTTTGAACGTTATAATTTTCCTATACCAAAAATGCATTTTCATTGGCACTTATCTCCTCTCTTATATATAGCAATTCTCATTCAGTGCTGCCCTCTATATGCAAAAATATTTTTGCATGCCACAAGCCATGAGCTCCCACATACCACACTATCAATGTGGTTCAATTGTGTCTCGCATGTAAATCATCATGCAACACACTCCACCAGTAGGAGTGCAACACACCTTCCTAACAAATGTGACTCCCTCTATTCAATTCTACCAAACTATCACTTCGAGTTTTGTCAGAAAATGGAAGCACTGGTTTTCAGTGGGGAGGAAGGGTAGGAAGTGTGAGAGGGGGGGAAGTACCTATCAGAAACATATTTTCAGTATAGGAAAATTATAACTTCAATAATTACCTCTTTTCACATAAATAGCTAGAATCCCACATTGAAGAGGTGAAGGGACCGGTGCAAGAAAAAGAAAGAAAGATCCCTTGAAAGCATCCAAGGGACAACCTAAAAGGGAGGATATTTGCAGTCAAGGATCAAACGTGGGAGACTGCACCACTTCTGTACCAGGTATACTCTTATGCCCAGTGTGGAAAGAGGTGACACAGACATGAGAGGAAAAAGGGAGAAGCACATCAAAAAGGGAGAGAACAATAGTTGGACAGGGATATGAACCACCTGATATCTCATTATCAATCACATAGATGACAGTAATGTGGGCGAGAGTAACAAAAATGTGCCCCAACGTGTATAGTGGCTAGGGTGCGACAGAACGTACACAAGTCAACAGCCTCCAAACCCCAGCCACTGGGAATTGACATCAATGTGGGGGTAGGATGAGTATCATACCATCAGTAAGTCAACTACAATCCAAAACTCAGTCACTGGGAACAGACATCCATGTGGGGGTAGGAAAGAGAATCATATCATCTTTACCTCAAGTTCAGGACACATGATAGCAAAGTGCTAAAATGTTTGAGTGATCCGGGAACCCGACATCCTGATGATCAGAATAATAAAGATATCCCTGTATTGTAAAATATCCCACTCAAAAACAATCAGACAGGAATCACCCCCAGTGCAGTAATATCCTTGGTCTATGAAAAGAGGAAGAATTAAAGTAACCTGCATGATTATCCACCGTGACCCAGAATACGGTAGCAGTGAACATGAGTCCAATTGAGTGAGGGAACAGAGACACCTGTAATACATGTGTGAGAACTTATGTTGATTGGTCCAGCTCTGAATCCAAAATCCAGCCACTGGGAACTGACATCAATGTGGGGGTAGAATGATGGGTGAAATTAAATTTTGATGCCTCACTCCGAAAGCTATGACATCCCATCGGATAAACCCATTCAGAGATGGAGCATCAGATTGGAGGAAATCTCATCATCTACATCAGCAGAACACCACCAACCTACTCTCAACTGAATGGATTCATTATTGTTTGTATGGTATATGACTATAACATTCAGGAGAATGTCTCCATGGTCCACCACCCTAGTGGCTTGGAACTGGAAAGTAGTAAGGACCCCCTTACTCCACTGGAAGAAGTAAAGGTGGGAGAAAATGCAATGGAGAGTCCAGGGGAACATCCACATTGGAGATAGTGCAACAGGAGGCTACAAAAACTCTATTTTAAAAAGTCAGACCACTCCTGATTTATTCAATCTAAGGAATGGCAGAAATAGGCAACTGTCCCCTTCTGCTTTACCCATGAAGTCCATGGGTTAGTACGGTCTGGAATGGGCATATGAATGAAGCAAACATATAGCAAGGAAAACCTCTGAGTGATCTTATGGAACATCCCATTTCAACAGTGTGCCATGGAAATTGTTAAGTCATCATCCTTACAGTGCATATTTGACTAGTTTATGTATACCTCGCCACAGAGTGGGATCCATAAGGAAAATATAGGGACACGCCCCTGAAAAATAAGAGGTATATATACAAAAAGGTAACTTACAAAGTCACAGTCCCACTGAAGAGTGAAGGATGGCGACAGGTGGAAAACGGTACCCCAATGAGGAAAAAACAGCTATCTGAAGCAATTAATGGGAGATAACGTATGAGGTATAGTCCCAGTGCTCGATGGAAGAAGTACCACCAACGTACAATGAGGATGAAATTCAGGTAAAAGGGAATATGCCTAATCAGATTGAAGACACAAGGAAGAAAA